CCTTCCCCAGCTCCACCTGTATAGATGTGCTATGGGATGATTTCATGTATGTTATACATGGAGGTTATTTTATATATGCTATATGTGCAGCAGCAGTATTTCTTACATGCTCACAGCAGCATGTCTGTGGATACATTTACAGCAGCAAGTCTCGGTACTTGCTCTGCCGCAGCAGCAGCAGCATAGCAGATCTATTCCGCCAAGACTAAACACATTAGCATTGCCATGTATATTACCATGCTAAACTCTCCGAGAGTTGTCATGACAGAAATGAATGAATGAATGAATGAATGACATTTTAGATCACACTCTTGTGACAAATTGTAACTATTTTACATTTTGCCAAATTTGCACAATCTCATTCATATGTTTTCGTACAATCTGCTTGCGTCCCACTGAGGGATAGGTTTAGGCGTACACCTTTATGTACAAATCAAATTTGCCACCAATTTGCCAAAACATAAAATAATTACGTTGAACTAGGGCTAGGAAAAGCAGTTGGGAAACAGGAGAAATGGTCAGTGTCAGCTTCCTCTTTAACATATATCATCACTTAGAGGGCAAACATTTGGAAGGCAACAACATTTTTAGACCTGCGGAATGGAAAAATGAAAGACAAACTGCTCATGACTTGAATCTATCTAAACCAAATAAGCAGTCAATTCAAAAGGCCTTTAGAATTAACTATAATAAATCCACTGCATACATGAACTCAGTGGAACCAGGATTTGAGCAGAGAAATCTGTTAAGAATAAGCATCAAATGATGAATTCCTGGTGCATAATAGTTCACCAACATACAAAAGCATGTGCATCATCAGGATAGAGCTGCTGTGACATTGATGATGAATTCATTGTACTGCCTTCATTAAAAGCTGAGGGAAATGGTTCTGATTATTTTGGATTAAAAGAATACATCAACTGGGTTTTTGAGTGACTCACTATGAGTAAAGACAGTCATGGCTTTGGTGCTTCTAGGCATGAGTCACGTGTGAACGTGGCCTGCTGGGACCTGTCCGAGGATGTTGAATCGGTATCATGTAAGGGTGATTTCAGGCCATTTCCAAGGCCGTGGCCCCAGATGCCCACACCGAGGTAAATAAGGACATGGCAGATGATAATAAACGGCAGCTGCCTGAGGACACGTTCTCCTGTTTCATATCAATGCATGAATATAAGTGAAAGTCCTTTCTCACCAAGTTTGAATCTAAAAGCTGTTTCACATTAACAACACTGCTCTGAAAAAAGGCCCTAAACTGAAACAACCATTTTCACATCAGAATGCATCATGAAGTTACACAGCTAAACCTCAACGTCTCTAAACGACACTCAGGCGCCACAAACCTAGCTGTTGTTCTGTTCCTTTCCGTTTCCTCTGACACCTTTTACACTTAGGAGACAGGAGAGATGCAAACGTGTGCATCTTTAAATTAGAGAACGTCTGTACAAAGGACTATCCATCTCTTTTCTTGTCTTGGTCCCATATGTTGTGCATTACAGGCTAATCACATCCAGACTTGGAGCCAGGGAATGTCACCACCTTGCTTTTGGTTTTATTTTCCATTGCAAGTCCTGCTCTCACAGGAACAATTATATGTGACTCACATTCCGCTGACTTCACTGAATAATTTCAGCAATTAATCTCGGAGTTAATGTCATAGATGGAATAGGAAGCAAAACATGACCTATGGTCACGAGTGGGGCTATAACAGGACTAGTCCCTGCGGCCACCCACCCAAAAGACAAACAAAAATGAATTTGACTTGGCCGTTTGTGCCGGTTCAGGTCTGAGTTTGTTGGCTGTTTTGCTCAAGTGTTGACCTTTTGTTCCGTAAATTCAGTCACATCCAGAACACATCATTTTATTGATGTGAAAATGCATCAAAAACAACACATGGGATATTGGGTAATTGAAAACTTTACCATGAATAAACCTTTTAGAAGTCCAAAAATAAACCCATCACTCTTGAATCTCTAGTAAAACTGAGAATACCTGAAGATGGGCCTTCCCATCCAATAGATGTAGGATAGAGAAAACATGTCTCCCAAGTTCAAGTCTATCCCATGATTCTAACACAACCCTCAAGTGTATACATTATGAGAGATAATGTGATAATGAGGTAAACATTGTTTAACAGAACTATTATTGAAGGAATTGTTCACTCACAATGAAAAAAAAATTCAATTTTATGATATTTTAATGGTGCTTTTACATCCTTTGGATTGACCCAAATTCCCATTCCCTTTTGTTACTTTGAAAGCGGTAGCCATCCAAAGTCATGTAGGTTTAAAACAACACAAGAGTGATTTTAAAATGAGAGATTTTTGGGGTGAATTATTCACTTAATTCTTCAGAAATATGCTGATGTTAAAACAAATAAATAAATAACATGCATGACTTTCTTCTGTGCAACACAAATATACTTTGAAACTAAATGGGATCCAAACAACTTTGGACCCAACTGAACAAAACAATTTACCATTTGCTAAGAATTTAGCAGTGTTTTTTATTTTAAAATAAGAAGACATTCACTCTTATTGTGTTAAGCGAATGTTTCTTGTCACGTAGGGTTAAATGATTCAGTCTATATTTCAATTCAAAATTGCTAAATTTGACGTGAGAAGTTGAGTAGTTTGTGTCTCACTGGATAATTGGCCATGTAACACACTATAAAACAGCTGTTAAATATTAAATGTTTAGCTAATTACATCTTACCTCACACTCTTTCACCATTAAAAACGTATAATTATTTGATTAGTCTCAATCATTTGGATATTGACAAGTGCTGTTAGACTGGTGAGGCGGACCAGACTAAAAATGTGCATTTTTATACTTTTTGTCATCCAAACAACAAAGAGTGCAGCATCAAGAATATCAAATATTAGTGGCCAGTTTTGATTATTGGGGGAACTTGTCCCTCTCAAAGTCTACTGGTTGTTATGGTGCTGTGATATACAAAACAAGCTGAGATAGACATTGAAAAGCACTTCTGTGAATTCGTTGGATGCAGCTGAAACTTTGAAAAAAAAAACTGAAACCGAAGGTCAGGGTCTTTGGCTAGGGATGTTGCAGTTGACAAAGTGTTGAGGACAGGAGGTTTTACACAGTCCATGGGTCAGCTGAATCTGCAGAAGCTATTTTGGGGTAATGTTTGGAGAAAACAGCACAAAGGAAACCAGAAACTGGCATTGCAAATATACCAGTGCTTGGCTTTATAGGATCAAGACCCTGGAAACAGTGAAGGAGAATATGCTGGCAGCATGTACAGAGCAGCCATTTCCAGTTCATTCTCCTCTCTCTTTCACTCACTGTATGTCCTTTTTACCTAGTAATGTCTTCGAGTTTGGTAGTCTCATAAAATAAATGAATAAATAAATAAATAATAAAACTCAGACGTGAGACTATAGAAAGCCAAACAATGTCTCATGCCTCTGATTCTTTAAAATCAGACAGAAAATATATGACCTTATTTCTATTTAAAATGCAGCCATAAAATGTTTTTAAAAGTCATTTTATGATCATATGTTTAATGTTTCTATTTTGTGCCTTTAAATAAATTAACACAAAATCGTTGTAGATGCAAACTGATTAAGTGATTATCTGTATACAAATATTAAAATTAAATTATAGACTAATACAAATGGATTGGATTTATTGATTAGAAAATATGAGTTTGTATACAGTACAGGCCCACTGTGCATTACAACAGACAAGTCATTTATAAATCATTTTTAATATGATCCTTTTAGGCTTCACTTTAAAATAGTCAAACTCGTATTTGTGTTGTTTAGAGATTCGTATGTATAACAGGTTAATTTAAATGGGTTAACTGAAACGCTCAGGAGGAACTCCAGGCTGTGATTAAATTCATGGGAAGGAGAAATGAAGTTTCGTAATCAAGAGTCGAAGTAGTGCCACACATCACGTGAGAGCACCAGAGAGAGAGAGACGTGCCGCAGAAGAGGCGTGGCCAGAGAAAAATAACCCCGCCCACTCCACCAGGAAGACTGCGCGAGTTTTTATAAAGGAAAGGATATGCGCGCAAGTTTTGGCAGGACAGAGGGGGCTCTTCTGCGGGGCAGAACTATATCAAAGACCCTTCAAACACAGGAATACTCCCACCGTAACTGAACAAACCATCTGTTTGTCAACAAGTATTCTCGACGACCCCCGATTCGACAATGACTGCGACTGTTGCGTCCCCCTTCGACTGCGAAGTGACGAATAAGGTAATTTATATTTTTGGGAAGTAGCTTTAAGCATTGTACCAGTCTAAATGAGTGAGTAACAGAGCAATATCTCATAAAGGTAATACACAAAACGTAGCAATTGTCTGAGGTGCTGTTTTCTGCACCAATGTCAAACTTTTCTGGCTTATCGACCTCTGTCACACCTCCGTCCATATTTTCCACCGAAGACGTCAACGAGTGGCCCAGCAACCCTTTCACTTACTCGAGTCAAGAGCTTGCCAACCTGTTTGGGCCCAGTTTAGGTGGCACCACTGTTCCTGATCTGCCCGGTCATCATTCTCCCACCGCACCCTCCTTCTTCAGGCCAATGTCCGAGTCGCCCCCAAGCCCTCCGGATTCCCTCTCCGACCAGGAGAGTTACCAGAGCAGCCTGGGCAGCCAGAGCGGATCCGAGTCACCTGTGCTGGACGCCACACGTCGCCTCCCCATCTTCAGCAGACTCTCCATCTCTGATGATTAAAACGTGCCCTCAGAGATTCAGGCCTGAGATAGAGAAAGCACAGAGAGCTGGCGAGAAAGAGAGTCATTTTCCTCCTAGCAATCCCTTCCTGTCCTTGCGTTGTTTACAGCGGAGAAGTGGACTAAAGTACAGTGTTCTCGTAGCCGCTGAGTCAAATCAGAAAACCTACTACCCTGTAGCATCAACCTTGAGCGAATTCCCAAGCCTCCCTAGACGTCTTTAACATACCTGACGTAATGCAAAAACAACAAACTGTTCCCCTCAAGGCCCACTCAATTGTTGAGGTCTCTTCATCCACAACGCAGAGGAGCGCCGCGGACCCCCTCCTCTCTGTGCCTTCAACAAGATGGAGCGCCCCCGCCTTCATCATAGCTACAGTTTTGCCGGTTTCACAAGCTCAGGTGGCTCCCAGGACAGCCCGACCTCTGTCACACCTCCGTCCATATTTTCCACCGAAGACGTCAACGAGTGGCCCAGCAACCCTTTCACTTACTCGAGTCAAGAGCTTGCCAACCTGTTTGGGCCCAGTTTAGGTGGCACCACTGTTCCTGATCTGCCCGGTCATCATTCTCCCACCGCACCCTCCTTCTTCAGGCCAATGTCCGAGTCGCCCCCAAGCCCTCCGGATTCCCTCTCCGACCAGGAGAGTTACCAGAGCAGCCTGGGCAGCCAGAGCGGATCCGAGTCACCTGTGCTGGACGCCACACGTCGCCTCCCCATCTTCAGCAGACTCTCCATCTCTGATGATTAAAACGTGCACTCAGAGATTCAGGCCTGAGATAGAGAAAGCACAGAGAGCTGGTGAGAAAGAGAGTCATTTTCCTCCTAGCAATCCCTTCCTGTCCTTGCGTTGTTTACAGCGGAGAAGTGGACTAAAGTACAGTGTTCTCGTAGCCACTGAGTCAAATCAGAAAACCTACTACCCTGTAGCATCAACCTTGAGCGAATTCCCAAGCCTCCCTAGACGTCTTTAACATACCTGACGTAATGCAAAAACAACAAACTGTTCCCCTCAAGGCCCACTCAATTGTTGAGGTCTTGAAGTCCTCACTGGAACATTAAACAAATCCATATTTAGTTCATAGTGTTCAAACTGAAAAGAGTTTTCTCCTTGTTCAAAGAATCTACTGATTATAGCAACAATGTACTTTATAGACCTGGAAGTGCCACTTTTCTCACAGAAGACCCGGTAGATCGTCTGGACTTAAAGTGCCTATCAAACAATTAGTTTCCTACTTTTTCGGTCACGTTGATTTTGGGGTAGAAAAGATTTAAAGGAAAAGAATCAAACCCATCTTAGATTTGTATGAATCATTCTGAAAGATATTTGTACATCCAGTGGTGCTAAATGTGCTGTCACCGTGGTAATTATCCCTAGAACATGTGATCCCTTACGCTAAAATAGTGTGTTCTGGTTGTTGAAGAGAATATTTGTGCGAGAAGATGTCCTTCCTGTTCATGTTACCACTAAAGATGTGACTTGAGTGGCCACTAATTGTTTTGTTGCAAACAGATCGTTGAAATGTTCTATCATTAATTCAATATTGTATTTCCCCTATTATTGTTATAATATAGTTATTATTGCATCATTACAACTATTGTTGGTATTTTCTGTTTGGAAATGAGAACTTTCAACCTGAAAGTTTTGCTCGTCAGTGCTTATTTAACTTATCAAAATGTATTTATTGCTAATTGTAAGCATTTTTTTATTTTGTTTGTATTTATCTGGATAATGAAACAATAGAATATATTTTCCTTTATGTTAAATTATGATCTTCCGTATTAATCGTAAGATTGTGAAGACCTTTTTTTTCGTTAAGTTTCAACAGTTAATATATTATACTGCAATGACATTTTGTAACTGCATTTTGATTGATTTTTTTCAAGTGAAACTTAATTTAAAATGAAAATGCAAAGAGGAGTGTTTTGCATTTTATTTATTATTTTTCTCCCTAATGTTGGACTGCAATTTCAGGATGTTTATGCCTCTATAATCCTTTATTATTTGGCTCTGACCGTCTAGAATGTAAACCGAGTTGTCTTGACATAACAGTCCTGTGCCTGTGATTTTATAAATCCAATGTTTAGACTGGGATCCTCTCATTAAGACTTCTTTTGGTATGAACAAATTGCTGACAATAAATGCATTACAGTACCAATCTCATGACCCTCGCGGTGGTCCAAACCTCTGATAATAAGGGAATTGTGAAATATGCATTCATGTATTTATTTTGCCCGTTTTGAAACCATATTATATGCACCAGCAAGCATGTTTTCTTTTGATTTGTTATGACTCAAAATTCATATTTATTTACAGATTTTGGACCACCTCTACTTGCTAAGTGCCTGACAGTACATTCCAAGAGTCTTGAACCTTTTAGGATTGTAATCCAGTCGTTATATAGATTTTAGTTGAAATTCGAGGTTAACAGGATTGACATTAAGAGAGCTACAGTTGAATGTGTCCTATGTTAGCAGCTACTGCTGTTCACATCAATATGTTTCTTTTGTAATGACAGATTGCAGTTTAAATCAATAAAATACCTATTTATAAGCAACCTGACCTTATCGTTTATTTCCACACACATGACAAGCTTGATAAATGTGACAAAAGAACAGAGAATGGCTCAAAAAGAGAATGGCTCGTTTTTTGTAAGTTCAGCGCAGCAAGGCCACTGGCTCGTATACTCAGCTCTAATGCAAACAGCTGTGCTTATTATTTCATGCCATATTTTGACATTTTTACCTGGAGAAATTCTTATTGTTCCACAAACTTGCATTCCACACTGATTCCAATACAGCTGAACACTACGAGACGGGTGGCTGCTAATGAACCAGCTAAAAAACTCAAACTGTTTTCCTGGAAAAGTGCTCAAACACAGGAAATCTAAATTCTGTCCCGGCCCAATAGTAAGGATGTGAAAAGCCCCTTAACTATGTCTTTTCCTGGCACGGATTTCTATGGCTTTTTGAATCTCATTCAAATGTACTGGCAATGACGGGACTACTAGATAGAAAGCACAGGCCCCTTGAGAACAGACAGTTTGTTACTGTAGTAACAGTCAGGAGGGGTCTTATGCTGGGACTAGCAGTTTACAGTACATGTTTGCTCACGACGTCACTGAATAAGCATCCATGCTCTGCAAACACAGTCAGTCGTTGCTTGGTTTTAGTTTAATTTCCCTTAGAGAGAGAATTCCTGAGGAAAGCTGTGATCATGAATACAATCATAGCAGATAGGAGCCAGATGGCCATCTGAGTAGTACAAAGTTCAGCATTTCCATTGCTTTAGCCTTTGGTCTTAAAAGAAACAGCCCACCCAAAATGAAAAATCGTTTTGTTATTTGCTAACCAATTTTTACTAGTTTCCATTGATTAAAAATGAGCTTTTACTCTACTGTTCATAAGTTTGGGGTCTGTAAGATTTTTAAAAAGAAATGTAGCACGTTCAGTTTAGCAAGGATGCATTAAATAGATCAAAAGTAACAGTAAAGACTTTTAGATGAATATATTTCAAAGAAATGCTGTTCTTGTATCACAGTTTCCACACACAAACAAGTAGCATCTGTTTTCAACATTGATCATAAGACATATTTCATGAGCACCAAATCTGCATATTAGAATGATTTCTGAAGGATCATGTGACTGAAGTAATGATGCTGAAAATTCAGCTTTGCATCACATGAATTACATTTTAAAATATATTAAAATATAAAACAGGTATTTTAAAATTTGATAATGTTTTACAAAATTAGTTTTTACTGTAAGAAAAAACTAATTGAATAAAAAATAGGGGGAAAATAAAATTAAATTTGACATTATTTCTGTTCATTCTGCTTAAAGACTAGTCATATGAAATGATCATGTAATTATATTTTACTCAATGTTTTTTTTTATTATTAATATTTTTACTATATAAATGGGTCTTTATACACAGACATATAAACAGTAGCTGCCTTTATTATTTTAGAAAGGGGATGATAATATTTTGGGGGTCTGTGGATTCATAAAGTTTGAAAACCCCTGCTTGTATTATAGGACTGTCATTGGATCTCTTTTTCATGAGGGAGATAATGATGACATAAAATTAATTTTTAGGTGAAGTCTTTAAAAAGTTAGGTAGCAAAGCATAACAGCAATCCAGTATTTGGATTTGTCATTTTAGGGAAATGTGCTGTAATTGTTAGTTATTCTGTCAAGAACACACAGTTAGTGTCCATTCGCACCAGGGCTGTGGGTCACTGGGCCTTTAAAGGGGTCATATGATGCGATTTAAATTTTTCCTTTCTCTTTGGAGTGTTACAAGCTCTTGGTGCATAAAGAAGATCTGTAAAGTTGCAAAGACTAAAGTCTCAAATCCAAAGAGATATTCTTTATAAAAGTTAAGAGTCAACCACGTCTACCTAAAACGGCTCGTTCTAACATGCACCAACATGTCTACATCACGATGTGGGAAGATTTGCATAACACCGCCCAAATGTTCACGCAAAGAAAGAAGGTGTAACTTTTATTCTCGCTGTAATATTGTTGTTGCCACCGCCATGTCGTAAAGGCACTGTGTGTTTCTTTGTGAAAGCTAAACTACTTTGTTTGGTCTTCCAAAAGAGGACGATATCCGCTTCATGCCTGGAGCTGATCCGTGCTGGTCGCTGAGGAAATACATAAACTTTGCGCTGTGGATCGCCGGATCAGCTTTCACCGTGGACGAAGCGGAGTCCAGCCCGGGGTCGTCACATGTGGTTGCCGCAAGCCTGCCGGACGCTCCTTCATCGAATCTGCCGCCCGCCTCCACTCACTCTAGGCCTCCGGCCTCCGCTCACTCTAGCCCGCCGTGTGTTTCGTTGTGAGAGGACACGACTAGAAATCAGTGGTTAAGTTGTATTTACAATAATGTTCCAGAACACTTCAACCCAAATATTCAGATGGGTGCAGCACATTTTATAGAGGACTGTTTCCTGATCCTGGTAGACTAGACTGCAATGCCGGCTGTTCTGACTCACAGACTGTAAGTATGTTTTTTATATTTAAAGAATTTGCCACTGACGATTCAAACACGAGTTTTGAGCAGTGTAGAGTAGCGCGTGTTGTTTGTCATTTCTCCGATCACAAATGCAGACATGGTTTTATGTTTATGCGGTGCAATGCAACGCGTAAAAAGACAGTACAAGTCATTATAATCCGTAAATATGTCCCCACTGGATGCAACAAATGCCTCGTTTATAATGGGTTTTAATGTTTTTGTCTCGTCGCTCCGGCCGGGACACGGCATCACAATATGGTAAGGGGCGTAACATTTCCGTCACATGCTTGAGGTATTCAACCAATCACAACACGCTTAATAGCTGGCCAATCAGAGCACACCTCGCTTTTCAGACCGATAAGCTTTGTAAAAATCGACGCATTTCAGAAAGGAAAGAAAGAAACAATAATGTACAGTATGTGGAAAAGAATGTGTTTTTTTTTTATTTAAACCGCATAAACACATTTCATTACACAAAGTACACAAAATAATGTTCTTTTTAGCAACATCATATGACCCCTTTAAGAACAGACATGAGGCCAAAGTCGCAGTTGAGCAATACTGTCTGCATAGACTTTGTAATTCCTCTATCAGCTTTTTTTGTTCTTCTGAGTGTTTCAGAGGGCAATGAATAAATAAAAAAGAGCTCAGCTCTGGAGTTCACAGTATCAGAAACTTTATAATGATTTTCACTTGAAGGGGAATTTTGGGGAGTTTTACATTTAGGGAACATGTGGTTCTTATAATAACCTCAAGCCTGTGCAATACCTAAATAAGCCTCACAAAGCAGAAAAAAACCCAAAAGGTTCTGAACAGAAGTGACTTGAGGTCACAAGTATCCAATTTTATCAATTCAAAAACAAACACTGCTAAAAAAAAAATAAAAATAAGGCTAATTGAAATATACTGATATTCGATACTCACAGAAAGCATTAAAATCTCTTAAACCGAAGTATAGTAAAACCCCAAGCAGAAGTGTGCATGATCTTTTTGTGTGGTTGATTTGTATTGTGGCACTCAGAGAAAGCCTGATGTGAAGGATGAGCACAGATCACCATGGACTTTGCACCCACGTCAGGATCTCATGACTCTGCTCTGATTTTTATGTTCAGTTAACTTTTTTTTTTCCTCCAGAGCC